AAGACGTTGAGGTGATGGCAGATAAAACCTGGATCGAGGCCAGGCATGTCTTAAGGCGACCATGCGAAGACTTCGATGTTGGCAATCAAAAACTCAACCATCTCGGTCCTCTCTTGGGCAGTAAGGCTGGAACCGAGCAGGAAGAACTTATCCGGCTGCTCTATGTCAAGTCGCACCTCAACCAGGTCCTCCACAGCTTTGTCCTCTGCTTTAGTGCCCACATCCTCCAGAACTCCTCGGTCTTCTGGTCCTTCTATCATTTGCACGAACCTTTGGCAGCCCGGCTGCCATTCACCGCCACGAAGCACTGTTTGGACATGACTTGATCCCCCCAGATCTCCTCGATTGCCCCCATAGCCGAGGGGAATCTCATCACCTGGTGGTAGGTCGACGCTACAGCTTGCATAGCGTGAAGCCATCCCCTTCCAAGGATAAGGTTATACGTCGAAGGAACTTGTAGCACCCAAAACTCCACTTGCTTGACCACGGATCCCGCTTTGACCGGCAGGATAATCTTTCCTAAGGACCACTCCGGCTGCGAGTTGAAACCAACCAGTGGCGAAGTTGCCGGAGCCAAGTCTGTCTCTCGGAGTTTAAGCTGCTTGAACGCATCAAAATACATGATCTCGACCGAGCTTCCTTGATTGATCAAGATCCGTTTAACATCAAATTCCCTGACGCGTAGTGTTACTACTAGGGCATCGTTGTGCGGCGTCTGGATACGCTCTAGATCCCTTGAGGTGAAACTAATCGCGTCTTTTTCTTCAGTCTTCCCTCTTTTGATGGCAGGCTGTATCGACAAAACTCCCCTCATATGCTCTGCCTTTTTTATCATGCCCCGGAGTTCGCAAACACGCTCCGGTTCCACGATGCCGTGGATGACATTAATAACTCCTTGCAGTGGTGCGTCTCGGTCATCCTGTCCCCTGGGATAGACCGGAGCCCGATTCGGCTTTACGCCGCCATCAATGTAAAGGTCGAGGTGCCCGGCTGTGACCAGCTCTTCTAAGTGTTGCCTCAAAGGCAAACAATCCTCAGTCCGGTGGCCTCTCTCCTGGTGGAATGTGCAACGATATCGCGGATTGTAGCCCTTCTGTCCATCGCTCAACTTAGCAGGAAACCGGACATACTCCTCGTCTCGGATTTCACTAAGTATGCGATAAATCAGAATCTTGAAGACCGTGGTGATGCCAGTCCTTGCCTTTAATCTTCTGTTGGCATCCGCAACATCATCTCGGGCGTAGTCATCCCGGTCGTTCCGACGTCCTCTACCCCGGTTCTTACGATTCAAGCCACGGTCTGATTCCTCTGCTCTGTCACTTGAGCGGCCGGACTCTCGCCCAACTGCGTGCACTTTGCCTGCCGTCTTCTTGTCTGTTGCTACCAGGGTTGACTTCACGGTAGATGCTGATGCATCATCCTCGACCCGGATGTGCTCATTGATGCGCTGCATGAACTGGCCCATGGACGTCGATTGGTGCATGGTGAGCGAGTCCCGCAGTCTATGTCCGACCGGGAGACCACGCTTGTATTGAGTGATTGCAAGGTTGACCGGGCAATCCAAGATCTCATTGAAGGTCTCCCAATACCTGGAGTTATAGGCCTTCAGTGTGTCGCTCGGTTCCATCTTGACACTTAGTAAGTGATCGACTTCCTTTGGTGTTTTTGTGTTGGTTTTGAAGCGTGTCACAAAGGCTTCGGCCAACTGGTGCCACCTTTGTATGCTCCCTTCCGGTAACCTCTCGAACCACTTTAAGCCCAGTTCGCCTAAACTTGACGGGAAGATTAAGCACATGAGTCCGTCATTTCGCCTATGTCCGGCCATAACCTGTCGGAAGTGGCTCACATGCATGTAAGGATCAGTTTTTCCGTCGTAGAGTGTGAACTTAGGCTGGTGGAAGCCTTCCGGAAGCGGTGTTGTTTCTATTTCCAGGAAAAAAGGGGTGGCACTCAGCCTGGCCAAGTCCGTATCTTCAAAGAGTGGCGCTGCTTGGCGGGGTGGAGGCATTCCGACCTCTTCGCTGGCGTGAGCCCCGTAGGATAGCTGCTGGAACGCCGGTATTCTCTGAGCTTCGCGCCGGCGAGCCCGCTCCTCTAAGACCGCCCGCAAATCCTCTGAATGAGCGGAGTAAGAGTACCTCGACGTCGTCACCGGACGTGAGGGTTTGTAGGTGTTGTCTTGTGCGCTAGACTTTTCTGCATGCGCGTCGGAATCACCAACCTGGTAACTTCTGGTAATAGATATGGACTGAGTGCGTCGCTGACTCTGACCACCTGAACGGCGGGATGGGGTGCGCTCACTGTGGTCGCCCACTCCAGCTACACCTTTACCTTTGACATGCCGCTTCAGATCCTCCATCTCCGCCGCCATTCGCCGGATGACAGCGTCTTGGTCCCTCAACTTATTTTCCAGACGTCTGGCGTGTGAGTCTCTCCTTCGCCGGTGACCGTCTGGACTCCGTGAATGACCATGACTTCTTCCGCGCTTATCCCGCGCGTCTCCTGACTGTCCTCCGGTGGGCGTCCCCAAGTCCGCCATTGGATGGATGGCGGGAGGGCCTTCTCTCATTCGGGTGAACTCCGGGGTGGCTCCGTCTATGGCAGACAACGGAAACTCATCGTTGTTCGCCATGGACGGCGATCAGATGAACCTTGAAGACAAGGTTTTGTCTGTCAAGCTTCCCACAGACGGCGCCAATTATACGGGGAGCAAATATTCCGGCAAGCCCGTACTCCTTTCTTCCGAGCTCCGTTTCTGTTCGATCACTTGCGAGCAAGTAACGGTGAGCTACCCGGCGGTGTGTGGCCGGAAAACCCCTCCGACGGTCAAGTTAGCACACACCTTAGGATAAAGAGAAAGAGAGAGGAGTGTTGGGGTGTAGGAATTCCTTACAGAATGTTCGTCCCTGCACGTATGGGGGGCGCAGACATGCTTATATATCCTCTGCGCCCCATATCCACTCCCAGTCATCTCCTGACACGTGGCTCCGCTATCCCATCTGTCAGCATAAACCTTGCTGAACATCACCTAATCTCAACTGCCTGCCTGCTCAGCTGGAGCTCGGCAGCCGAGCTTCTCTTTCCACGGCCGTGCTGTGCTTCATACCCAAGCACTTCATTGGCTAAGCCTAAGGAGGACCGGGCTAGGCGGCATCTCGGCAAAGCCGAGTTCGGGGCACCTCCTGTGGTCGGCCTTCCTGCCGATCAAACGATTACCTCGGCTGACCACGCCTTTCCGGGCGCCGGTCACTCAGCTTGACTGGCTCCACCATCGCCTGATCAAGCAGCTCGGTCCAACCGAGCACTGCCCTGCCGAGCAGCTTTTTTACGGTCTGGGGCGGCACATACTTGGCCCAACTCCTGCCCGGCCCAAGTCCTGGCAGCCCATCTTAGGGCGGATCGCCGGTCATCTCGGCCTCATGCACCATTAGGCTCTCAACCTGCTCGGCCGTTACCTCGGCTCAATTCCAGATCATAAATCTCCCTCTCAAATATATTTTTATATATTATATTTGAGGAGACCCAATCCAATTTGGTAACAATTAGGGTATGATTACAAAACCCAATACTCAACAATATATTTATACGGTTTTTGTTTGCCCCAGAGGTGAAGTGTGTGCAGCAGCCATACTATTACATTGCTTCGGTAACAGTGCCGAAGATTTACATATTGGTTCAATTTCGGTTTTTTGAAGCTTGGTTTGAGGCATCTTCGGTTAGTGTTGGTTCGTTATTTTGGGTCTTCTTCAACTCTGGTTCTGAAGATTTTGATCATCTATTTGGTGAGGTCTTTTCTCTTGTTTATTTGTGATTATTTGAAATTTACCTAAGGGTGGTTTTTGTGAGACCATTAGTGTCTTGTTTGTAATCGTTTGGAACTTATTTGGTTGATAGTGGAATCGGATTTCGATCCCGTGGACGTAACTCTCATTGAGGGAACCACGTAAAAATTCTTGTGTTGCCTTTGATTTAATTTTTCCGCATTAATTTTTATTCCCATTGATTGATTTACTTGTGGGGAATTACATATTTTCCCTAACACAAGAAAGTTTAAAAAATTATTTATTTTGTTTTAACCTGTGTTTTTGAAATACATGTTAACAAGAGCTTGTATTACAATCAATAATAAATTTACATATGATGCAATAAACCTTGCATTTTAAAATAATTCTTTAACAATTACATGATGATTTCTTATAAAATGATAACATAATATGACCGTTACATTAATTTTATTTTTATTTTTATTTAGGGCAAATTATACTTTATCCATCTCAATTATCATCATTTTTTATTTTACCCTCTTAAATTAAAAATTGATATAATGTACTCCTCCATCTTTTGAAATTTTTTAATTTAATCCTGATGTCCTCATTTTATTAACAAAACAGATGAAAAATTTTTTTATATTTATGATGAAAATATCTTTTAAAGATCTGTTATAAATATGACATATGCACATTACATACACATTTTTCGTCTTTTTTGTTAAGAAAAAGTAGATATAGGGGTTATATTGAAAATTTTTTAAAAATGAAGGGGTATATTGTATAAAATTTTAATTTGAGGGGATAGTGATGGTTGAAAATGGTAAAATTCCATTTTATTTATAGTCCTGTAAGGTTGGAGTGCCGTGCCAACATATCTAAGGCTTTGTTTGAAAAGTTGGATTGACCTTTTGAATTTTTAACTATTTTAGTTTATGTTAAAAAATTTGTTTCGATTAGTTTTTTTATTTTTATGAGTAAATGTGATATTTTATTTTACTACTTTTTTAATTTATTTTATATTTTTTGATTAATTTAGCTAAAAAAAAAAAAAAAAAAGTCTAATTCCTAAACGAGAAATAATGGCAACAACATCCAAATAATAAGAATAAAATAAGCAAATACGTGTTTGGCAAAAAACACAAAAATAAAAAAGCAAATACGTGTGTCCCCCCATCTATCTGTATATTGCATACACATTTGTTTTGGAGTGAGAGCGAGCAAGTGGGAGACTTGTCTGTATTATTATTTTTTAAGCTTTTGGTTCAACTGGGCAAAAGCATCTCTCTCTCTCTCTCTCTCTCTCTCCCTCTCTCTCTCTCTCTACTTTGTAGTGTAGAAGGCCATCCATGGCTGCAGCTCGCATAGTCTCCTCTTTGCTCGGTCGTTCTCTCTCTCTTTCTGCCCCTTCTGCTGGTTTCTTTCTCTCTACAGGTCACCACTTTCCATCCTCTCATCTCTCTCCTCATACCATATCTGTCTATGTACATGTATGTATATATACACACAGACACTCACATGTTTATGTTTGTGTGTTTATGTAAAGTATACATGTGTGGTTGTAGCTTTGAATCTTTGAAGCTCTGTTTATGTCATCTGCTCTGACTTGTTTATCTTATCTTTATCAGCTGCAGATTTCTTGTTTGACTTTCTAAATTTTGTTTGTTTTTAGTAAATTTAGGAATTCCTTCTACAATCACTTTTAAGTTACTTTTATATTATGCAGATTCAAGATTTAAGTTATATCCTCTGTGCAAAAAATTTGGAATTATATATATATATTTTTTATATGTATGATGTATGAAAGTATGGTAATGGAATTTGGAAAGAGATGATCATTGAAGGACTAGGAAGATGATATTTGAAACAGATGGATCACCTTTGACACAAGTGTCACAGACCAAATTATTTTGTATGTTACAAAGAGAACTCAAATTTAAAACAGAAAAAGCTTGTAGGAATTGCTGCTTAAAATCAGATTCAATTTAAAGATCCATATTACTAGATCACTGTATCATATGATTGTACATTTCTAGTATAGTATTTTGTGTGTGACTCTATGTAATGCATTCATGCCCGATAAATTTCTCCCCCTTTGGCAAATGTTTCCGACAGTTTGTGCCACTACACATAAGATAGCTTCCTTGATTTCAATGTTCCACTTATTTATTTATTTTTAATTTTTTTTCTTTCTTTCTTTAGTGATTTACTACAAAAATTGATCTTCGTAAGAAATAAATTTCAGGAAGAAATTCTAGCTTGGCGAGAAGCGCCCTCGGATTTAGCACTGCTGCAGTGGCAGAGGAACCGATCACTCCACCTGTTCAAATCGAACACACCCAACTTCTAATCAATGGCCAATTTGTGGATTCAGCGTCCGGTAATTCATTGCTGATATATTAAACCACGATCCTCAATTCGGATTATTTGCCATATGCATATGATTTTTAATGTATCATATGCCAATACAATTAAACTGACATTGGATGTTATATTTGTCTTAGGAAAAACATTTCCAACCTATGACCCTCGGACAGGAGAGGTTATTGCTCAGGTTGCCGAGGGTCATGCAGAAGATATAAACCGTGCCGTATCTGCTGCTCGTAAGGCATTTGATGAGGGACCATGGCCAAAAATGACCGCTTATGTGAGTTAAATTTGTAGTTAAATTTGACTTTGTGGGTATTTTGTGTTATTGCCATTTTCATTTTGTTTTTCATTTTCAGGAACGGTCACGGATACTGCTACGTTGTGCTGATTTGGTTGAGAAACACAGCGATGAGATTGCTGCTCTTGAGACATGGAATAATGGGAAGCCCTATGAACAAGCTGCCACGGCTGAATTACCGATGTTAGTTCGTTTGTTTCACTATTACGCCGGTAAGATCATTAAAATGAACCAATTGGCATGTACTCCTGAATTTATGTATCCTTGAAATGTTAAAAATTGCATTTGATCATTTTCATTAATTATTCTTTACTAATGCAGGTTGGGCTGATAAAATCCATGGTCTAACATGCCCGGCTGATGGACCATACCATGTGCAGACATTGCACGAACCGATCGGCGTTGCAGGGCAGATTATTCCCTGGAACTTTCCTCTTCTCATGTTTGCTTGGAAAGTTGGTCCTGCACTCGCATGTGGTAATACTATTGTCTTGAAGACTGCAGAGCAAACCCCATTGACTGCTCTTTATGTGGCAAAGCTATTTCATGAGGTAGGTCATGTTAGCTGTATTCTGTTTTATTAGTTTTCTGACAACTTTCTTAATTTTGGTCTTCCTTCTTTTTTGTTCCCCATTCAATTTGCTTGACCTTAGTTTCATTCAAAGGCTCACTGGTGTTTCTTGTCTTACTATTTGGGTGACATCGTAGAGTCATATTGTGGATATCTCTACAAAGAACATAGGCGAGTTTGATTGGGGTATATAGAGGGGGGATATGCCCTTTTGATCGGATATAGGAACAAAGAAAAACATGTGAACCCCTCCTTTTTTATGTCCTTTGTTTGGTTACTGGATATGAAGTCTTGTGGTATATTATATCCCCAAAAGTACAGGATATGTAATACCATCCCTCCTCTATAGTATTGCATATACCCTGTCGCAAGATATATGTCATTCTTCATCCAACGGTAAAAAATAACCACTTTCCTCTTATCTCATACTACATCCTACTTTTTTCGATAGAATAAAAATTGCCCATTATATCCCATCTTATATCCCTAAGTATTACATATCCTCCTTAGCTCCTTATACCCAATCCACACAATCAAATATTTGTTTATAAACTATGATAGGGTGGCCTTTTGGATACTGTCTTCTGCTACTTTGTTCATGTTATCTTCAATATAGGTAATTATGTGTTTAAGTGATCAATTGTTTCCAAATCAGAATATTGCAAGATCATGTAACCAGCTTCTGGAGTTTGAGTTTGGTACTCAAGCTGGAATTTTGTAGCATTTCCATAAAAAAAATCATATCCCTACACTTGTCAAATGTGTATGAACAATGATAGTGTACACCACTGGACTAAATTTTTTCGTACAAGATTATAGGGTGGAAAAGCCCTAATTGATGAAGGAACGAGGTACTTTAACACTAATATAAAACCACAAGGATGATGTACAATGTAATAGACATGTCAGATGTACTATATGTATTGTGGTATGCCTAGATGCACATATTCATCCAAACAGACATTTTTAGGTTGGTAAGAAGAAATATTCAGATATTCTGTGTGTGGGTGTGCGCGCGCGCTCGTGTGAGTAATCATTTTACAATTTAATGTGCAATCTTTGTGACAGGCTGGCCTTCCTCCAGGTGTTCTAAATATAGTTTCTGGCTTTGGTCCAACTGCTGGTGCAGCTCTTGCTAGTCATATGGATGTGGACAAGGTATCTATGATGTTTCCTTTTATTGAGTATGAATTTTGTCAATTTGATGATTTGTTTTACCTTATTTTGCCTCTAGTAATGCCATCAAAACATTGACAAGTTTTAAGAGTAAAAGAAGAGGAGACCCATTTGAAAAATATTTAGTTATTCAATTTTCTTGGGAAGTTTATCTAGTTATTTAATTTTGTTGGTATTGATAAGAGGAGGTAAAATATAGCGGTTGATCCTCACTATTTTCTACTGTTTCATTTCTTTTGGTGCAATCATAAAAGGTAGGTTTGTTGATTATTATGTAGTCACATGTGAATTGTTTGTTGTGCACAAGGCACTTATCCAACATCCTGCTGACAAACTGGACACATGTTGAGTTATTGACAAAAAAATTACACCATCTTTGCATGCTGACCACCAAACTTGTTGCCCTTTTTATGACCGAGCATTGTGGGAATTTTTTTTCTTTTCAGAATTTTAAGGGTGTGAATTGAATTGTCATTATTAAATTTTCGACTAGTTTGTCTCATAAACAGTTATTATTCACTGAAATTTAGCTAAAAGTATTGCTTATATGTCAAAATTAATATGTTATCGATTATTTGCTAAAAATAATATTTTTTTTGATTTTTTTTTAAAGAAATCGCCAAACTTGTTGCCCTTTTTATGACCGAGCATTGTGGGAATTTTTTTTCTTTTCAGAATTTTAAGGGTGTGAATTGAATTGTCATTATTAAATTTTCGACTAGTTTGTCTCATAAACAGTTATTATTCACTGAAATTTAGCTAAAAGTATTGCTTGTCAAAATTAATATGTTATCGATTATTTGCTAAAAATAATATTTTTTTTGATTTTTTTTAAAGAAATCGAGCTTGTTGCATTCGGATTCTTGTCTATCCTATTCAAGATGAATCAGGACTTTATGCGACGAAAGGAATACGATCTAATGGCTGAAACTTAAACTGTAAGATTTTAAATAAAAATTTGGATTTGCCACCTAACATAAAACTCAGGTATGTTAGGTCATCTAGAATTTGGAATCTTATTTTGGAAACATATTTTACAAAAATTTGAATTTAATAGTGACTTCCATTTTGGTCATAAAAAATCTAGAGATGAGTGTGGGAGTTTATTGTTACGGGTAGAGAAGGTATTAGGCACCCTACACCGCCCTTATCGTACTGCATTTCCAAATTTATCGATTTCTTTGTGGATGAATCTACTTTTGAAAATATTTTTGACAATAAAAGTAGAATTTAAAATTTTAATACGGAAAAATGATTAACGAAAATTAATAGTAAAGTGTTTTCATACTTATGTACATATGTATATATACACATATATATAGGGATTAATTTTTGCCAAATATATATATATATATATTCATATATATATATATGGGTATTATTTTTATATATGTGTGTGTAAGTATATGTATATATATACCGGGGCAATTCCACCAATTTATATATACATGTGTGTTATAGTAAATATCATTTATTCATTTTTTATTTATATATATGTATATACAGGAGGCAATTTCACCAAAATATATATATACATATATATATTATGATCAACATACACATATATAAATAATACAGTGATGATATAAATAAGATAAAATGAATAAAAAATGAAATAAGATAGATTAACTTGAATGGAATAAATGAAGTAAATAGATAATATAAATATTGTTTATTATGATGAACAATGTATACAAATATCCACGTGTGAGTTTTAAAGAAATAAAAATACTTAACACATTTTCTTTTCTTTTCTTTTTCACTTAATTTTTTTTTTCTTAAATGCACTTTATTTTTTTTTTCCTAACTCTCTCAATTCTGCATTTCTTCCCGAGCCTCTCTATCTGCCCTTTCCTCTGCTCTATTTATAGAGTTGAAGGATGATGATGATGTTGGGATGGAATGATGATGATGACGATGCTAAGATGATGATGGAGGTGGAAAGTCAAAAAGAGAATTTGATTTGGTGGAGTGTCCACCACCTTTTCCTTCATTTTCTACATTTTTTTTCCCTCTTTAACTTTTTAGAATTTTATTTGGTGTGGTTGAGACATATGAACTTCTTAATTTGGACGGTTGAGATTTGCTTGATGAACAAGGAAATAATTAGGTGTAACATAGAATACCATAAATTCGTGGCTCTCTTTATTGATTTGTTGAAAAATCCCCCAACTAATGTTCAATTTTAACAAAAATTTGTGCCCAAAGGTTTTTGGGCGTTCTGGATCCAATAATAAGTTCCATTACTGCAAATTCCTTAGACTTCGGGCAAAATGGGGTATCAACGACTACTCCTCTTTGTATAGTTTTGGTTGATCAAAATTATAGAAAGATTGAAAGTGAGACACATTCTGCCCCAAGAATACTGAATATTAATTTTTTTCTTTATTTTTTTAATCAATTTTTTTTTCTTTTCTTTTTCTTTTTTACTTTTTTTTTATTTATTATTTCTCTTTTCCTTTTTTTTTATAATATTTTTCTTTTCTTTTATTCTTCTCTCTTTTCCACAACTGTGGCTCAATGCTTGACGATGACAAATCTAGTTTGGCCTCAATTCCCTAGGCACGTTCCTTTTGTCTTCTTTCTCCCTCCTTCATCTTCTCCATTCTCTTCTTAAGGACTGCTTGCTAAAGAGAGAGAGAGAGAGAGAGAGAGAGCAGAAACAAAAGCTGCAAAATCAGTCTCCTATAGCTCAAGCTTTTCATTTCTCTAATATGCCTTCGTCCCATCAGCCCCTTACTCTGTTTCTTGACTTGAATGACACGCCGATAGGAATAACTGTCACCGGCTCTTTTGAGCCTCCATAGAGTATCCCTACCCCTCAAGAGTATTCCTGTCCCTGTTTTCAATTTCCTCGCAATGTCAGTCGAACGATTGTTGGCAACACAAATTGACATTGAAGCCAATTCCCATATGCTAAAATCGTGTGTGGATACCGTAACCGCAATATCCAATTTGTCGCGCTGGTTGCAGAGTAAAGTAAATAAGGTGCAACGGCTGACTACGCAACCCACCCTCTTCCAGCGTATGTATTAAGACGCTCGGCGGGAGTCAACTGAAGAGGCAGAACATAGAGTTGAAGAGCCGGTGTAACACCCCGAAATAACCCAACATGTACAATGCATCAAGCCACATTCATTAATTAAATTTAACTATTCTCCAACCTTTACATCATAAATCTCTAAAGTTCTATACAAAAGTTCCACATGCGGATATACATTCGATGATGAGAAGAACACATGAATCTATAGCATGTGGAGCATCTAGTCTCAAACAATTAAAATGCACTTAAAGGCCGGTTACATTTTCCAAGGTAATAACCCGGTTACACAAAATGGTCTCTCGGACCTATACACGTTTAGCCCTTGGCTTACAAAAATTTGCAACAAAAATTTGAGAGAAGTCTACTTTTCACAAAACAAATCCACGCCCTCAACTCGGCGGGATCACCACATCTTTACTTGCACCAAAGTCCCATAGGGGTGAGCATAAAGCCCAGTAGAGGATTCTTACAAAGTATATACAGTTATGCAAACTCTCAATGAAAAATGCAAATGTCAATGCCATGCCATGCCATTTTAAAGAAATTTCATTTTATGCTCTGCTTGAAGATCACAATTTTTCAATAAAAGTTTACAATCTCAACAATTTTCGAAACTTCCAATTTTAATCAATAGGGGCGGTAAATACGACTCAGGTAATTCCTAGGTTGGTGTCTGCAAGTAGGCTCAACAAGCACTACCAGTAACCCCACTTTACTGGTTGCTAACCGGAAGGGAAGTGGTACCTTCTCCGCGCGTGTTTTCGGTTTTTCACCCTGGACACTCAAGCCAACCTATCAATCTCATCTACACCCCCTATCCGGACTTATCAACGTATTTACCCCATAACACATTTCCATAGTTCTTATAACCATACCATTTTCTTTCATGATGTAAATATCTTCAATCTAAAATTACAATGATAATAAATAATTGAATGAGTATGCAATGCAATGATCTTTCCATACCTCATAACATTTCTCCATTTTCAAATGTCTCTACAATAATGTCAACAATCACATTTCCCATTTCCTCTTTTCAATGTTCTTCCACAAGATAACCATATGTCATCAACACATAGTTACAACCTTTCATTTCACAAGTCTTAACAATTTAGTCTCTTCAAGACTCCATGTAGTGTTTTCAAACATTAATCTCCAATGTTTATAATTCTCACAAGTCCATAGTACACAACAATTTGTCATCTCACAACCATGTATCATCATATATTTAACAATAGTTTCTAAAACAAATTCTTCATTTTGATATGTCAATTGATTGCCATTTTGTAAAACCACATCATGAAGCTACACATATCCATTCTTTTATCACAAGAAGAATAAAATCACTCTAGACATTTCCATACTTTCCAAAATCCCTAAATTTCTAGGGTTTTTCATCATAAACCAAACATTTCCATTTCCTTGGTGAAACTTTACCAAAACCATTTTTCTTGAGTTTAATAAAAGGGAAAATAACCCTAGGATTAACAAAGGGTTGAGATTTAAAACCCACTCTTAAACTCTCTACAATTTTGGTCTCAAAATAAACATTAGCATAAGATTTCAAGAAAACTTTTTAAATCAACGTCATTATAGCAAAACATGTATATGTAACTCAAGAAATCCCTATCTCAATGTTTGATGAAGAAATGGAGATGAAACCCTAGCTTTGATGGAAGATTCTTCAAGTTTCCCACAACACCAAGAGGAGCCCTAGCTTAGATCTTCAAGATTAGAGAGAGATGATGATGGATTTGGATCCAATGGATTACAAGAATCAAAGAGTTTTAGGGTTTTGATGAAGGTTTCTAGAGAGAAGGAGGAGAAAATATGAGGTTAGAGTGAGATAGAAAAGCCCCAAATGTGATACAAAATCTGCCAAAAGAGAAAAAAAAAACAGAGGTTCGGTTGCCCAGAATCGCGTACGTGCGGCGCCTTT